AAGCTTGCACAACACTCTGCATGCACTTGTGCTGCCATTTATAGTGCCAAAAACTACTCTGCCAACTCATCCTCCCCACTGAAGTGGCAGCTCTGGCTAGAATACTGGAAATAAACAGGATAGAGATGCAGGAAGGTAACTGCATCTAAAATAAGAGTTCTTTTGAAATTATTTGTTTTTGCAAAAATCAGCAGGAGATCAATTTCTGCAGCTTTTCAGGGATTGAAACCTGTCTGTTCAGAGGTCATTAGAATGCACCTACAATATACTCACAATGATAAAATTGTACATGTATTTACTTGACTTTGGAAGACTGACTTTCAATTCAATTTTAATGTTATATTACGTTATTATTTTAATGTTACAATTTTCGAAATGCACTTGCTTTTGCTGCTGCATCAGGTGAACAGGGTATGTATTCTACCACCCAGCAGGGGAGGAATGGGAAAAGCCTTTTGCATTCCTGTCCCAAACATGTGATCAAACCAGGAACAGCATTACCTCCTCATAATGTCAGTGTTTGTGTGCTAGTGCAAATATTTATGTGCTCTGAGCTGACTGGTTCTTGAAACTAGAAGTGCTCTGTCAAGAAGGCATTAGAGGGAAAAGGTGAAAATACAATAGAAAAAAAAATAAATCTTGTAACCCTCTGTGACTAGGTAATAGAGTGTATGTTTTCTTTGAAGACAATATTGAGCTATAAACCATGCTATTAAAGGTGACATGTTTCACCTCAAGCCAGCGGAAGGAATAATTCTAGAAATCTCTCAAGAGCAAGTTTCATCGTAATTTCCCTGCCCAAATTTCCCTTGCCACTTGAACTAAATAAAAATATTCACTGCCTATCTTTGATCATTAGAGAAGCCTCATGACTGTTATTCCAAGGTCCCAATTCATTCCAGTTGTAGCAATACACCATTGGCTAGTGCTACAACATAGGACTATATGCAACTACAGTTCCAACAGCAATTCAAGACCTCTTTTTATATTAAAGGTCCTTGTTCAAAATTATTATTTCTGTTGTTACCATAGGTTTTGTAAACCTGTTTCCTCTAGAAAATTATAAAATTGGCAGTACTGCAACTCAAGACTGACTAATCACTCATTACATGAGTTATCACTCAGTTTAGTAACACAAAAATCTGTCAGGATCATATGGATTCACACTAGGAATTCTGTTCCAAAGCAAAATATAAGCATAATTTTCTGAGGAACCCCTGATACTTATAATGTGAAAATGCACAATAGTGTAGATGTACTATCAGAAAATTAACTGTTTACACACAACACTGCCTAATAAAAACCAGGTATTTATGATCCTGACAACGTGACCACAGAGCAAACACCTAATCAGAACACTCAACCCACTCCACCCATCTCTAACTAGCAGAGCCTATTGATCAACAGACTCTTACTGACCCCTCAATGCGTTAGGAAACTGAAGTAAAGCTTGGATTACGGATTGCAGTAATAGCTGGCTCCAAATGAGACCTGTAAACACCAACAAACTCCAGTTTATTTCAGAATTAAAAAAAAAAATAAATCAAACACTGTAATTCTTTTATTATAAGGCATTTCCAAATACAGATATATTTCTGAAGAAAGCACATGTTATACTTCCACCTGCTGGCCACCAAACTGGATGATCATCTGGGTATCATTCCAATAGGTGGAACAAAATCCTTCCAGGCAAGGTGTCATGAACCTGAGAGTTCCATTTCCCAATGAAATAGAAACTATTCTAAGACAAATTTTCTTTTTTGATAAAACTGTACTTTTTAAAAAAAATTAATGTTTCCAAAGAAACACTTCCCATAATTTCTAATTATGAAATTATAAAATTACAATATGCCTGAGCAATGAGCAAGAGGAGGCTTTACAGCCCTAGGAACAAAGCAGGGTCTGGAATGCCACTTGCAGATATTTCCAGCTGCCTTATTTTCTGATTTATGATCCATTGAGAAAGCAGCCTAAGAAATCCCTTTTACCTGGCAAAACTTGTCTTTCCCAGTGACTAAGAAACCTTTGAAAGAAGAAATATAACTGGGATTAAGGTGTTCCTATGCCTCCTCAGTGCACATACACAACAAGAATGGTAGTTCAACTATCAACAGCCCTACAAAATCATGTCTCTTTTTCCTGTCTCTAGCAGTAATTAATTTTCAGCCTCCTTAAAACATATTTTCTTTAAGCTGCCACAGTCTATGCCTGATTCTGATTCAAATGCTCTTGCTCCTTCTGGAAGCCTGCAGCATTGTGGATTTCCTTTAGCTACAACCAACATAGTAAACAAGATGCAACTTGCTCCACTGGAGCTGTTTTTCTTCTTCCTGCTACAAGAGAAGCTTGATGCTTCCATGATTTTATCTAATGATCCACATGTTGTTTTCATTTGACAGCAAGAATAGTGTGACAGGGCTGTGGGAATTCAGAGAAAAATGTGAAAATTGAAAAGTAAGGAAGTATGAGTGAAGGCAATCATGGGAAAGGTAGTAGCATAGTGACTCAGGGTGAAGTGCTGGCAGTACAGTGAGGGATGTGGGGGAAAGGATGACAGAATACCCAACTAGGAAGTGAATGAGGTCATCTAAATCCCTCCTTGCCCTCTTGCTGTTGCCAAAACAGAAGCTAAAAAAGCCACTTAAATAAATGCAGATGAGTTTGGTAAAGGGCAAGTCCACAGTTCCTTCACTTTCCTTGCCATCCACTCCCCCATCCCACCATGTTTCATGCTTAAATGCAACACCCTTAAGATCAACAGGGCGTCAGTCTATGAGAGCATTGTCCTGAGCATCCTACATTTCTCGCTGCTTACAATAGGATTACTTGGAAAATTTCTATTCACCTACCCATCCATATATCAATGGCTTTTCCAGAAGCAGTAACTTTGCCTACAAATAGCTTGCTGGACGCTGTGACACAGGTTATGACAAATAATTCTCTGAGGCATTTGTTCTTGTATAACACAAACCAGCTTCTACTGTATGTAATGGTTCATGCATTAACAATCTGGCAATCACTTTTCTCTACTGACTCTCATTATCACTTGGTTTTCCCTTCAAGTGTACCATCTCTAGTTTATTATGCAAATTGGCTAGGATAGGGGATATCTGCTAGGATACAAAAAATATAACCTTTGAGAATAGTATGAAGTGTCCTTTCATAGAGCCACCTGGCAAATTTCAATAAAAACCTTCTTAATACCTTTGCTACATGAAGTTAGATGATTGTAGTTCTTGTGTTTGAGTATGTGCCTTGATTAAACTAGAAACTTCCCACCCAGATTAGATGGACAACAAACAAGGTCAAATTTTTGCAGCTGGCTGCCAGCAGAATTTGGAAAATATCAACAAGGTCCAAAGATGCAAACACAATGTGAGCCCTTGTATTTAGGCATGGTTCTCTCAGTTAATCATCTGTCTCCTGAGGCAACACAACTGGCAACACTACCCATCTGACTTGAGTAATTATATCTTTTAGCGTATTTTGATGCAGTAATTCTGGTTGTCACAGTGTAATTTGATAGCTTGTATCTCTCAGCAGCTGTGGGAAATTTCCCAGATCTCCACCATCATGCAATCCCAATTACTACTAAGTCTTTAGAACTGAAAGACTATCTTGACTTTTGGAACTGGCTGAGGCTTGAAGGAGAAGGAAGTACATCTGAAGCTTTTCTTCTGGGCCCTTTTGTTTTTTAGAAATATGTTCTTTCCCTGGTTCTACTGCTGAAGTGACCATCAGTGGCTAAACATCACTGTCACTGGCCAGGCTGATCATTTGCACTACCCAGAAGTTACTGTGACACTGGGAGGCTAGCAGTTACTCTATCTCCTTTCACTTCAGCTGAGTGCCAGTAACAGCTAAAGGACAGTAGTTATATACAGCTATATAATAGTTACATATAGCTAAATACTTCCTCACTGATTCACCAGGTAAGAAAACCAGCAACCCTTCTAAAGGCAGCTGAGCCCAACTCATGCTGATTCAGCAGACCCTCCTGTGATACACCATAAAGGCAGAGATGTTGTATCAGCTGATTTCATCCGAATGGCAGAACCTGGGCTCACAAAAAACTTCCTGTTCTGTCAAGGTCAAAGGCACTGTATTTTTATAACTTATTTTCTGACAACTTTTAGTCCAGACAGTGAAGGCCAAAGTGATTTTATCAGTGGGTAAAACCCTACCAAGGACAGGCATGTAGTTCAACCCTCCAAAACTCAAGAATTCACACCCTGTAAGAGAGCAATTTATCTGCACACTTAACACACAATAAGAAATGAGGCAACAACAAACCATCCTCATGACTATTTCCTGCACAGACTGGAGGTTGCTTCCTGTGGTTGAGACAGCACCAGCCAGAACAAAGCACTTTTGGCTGCCCTACGTTTAACCGCTGAATGTTAGAATCCTTTGACGTTACACACAAGCCCTCTTCCCATCAAAGGTGTAATACTCTAAGCAGATCACTTTTCTTGAAGAGTTCCAATGTGCATTCTTCAAAGAGTAACTCTTATTTGAGGCTTCTGTTCAAGTGCATTCAGAAATGGCTGAGTCAGAATACCTGACTTTTAAACTCAGGTACATGTTTGAGACAGGCAGACTTCATGCAAAGGCAAAGGCTACAAACCTCACACTGTCCTGGAGTACCAAAGTTCATCATCACTGAAGTACACCATAAATGATAACCATGTTGGAAACCCTGAACACTTCTTAAAATTATTCTGCCTCCTCATTTAAGAAGATTTAAATTTTAGTGAATTTCCTGCATAAATGTGTAGCCAACAAAGAATAAGATGTTTAACAGAATGAACTTTCAGACTAGTAATGAAAATTAGCCTATCAGCAGAATCAATGTATAAACTGCATACTACCAATCAATAATAAAGAACATCATTACAAGAGTCTGCCTTCCACTTATCTAAAAGATTTCTGAATTGAAGTCTGAAATAAGCCTGAATTATTGATTTGCTGTGAGAAAATGAAATATTAGAGATACTCACTTTTACCAAAATTATTCTTGCTAGCTCTTCACATACAGGCTTTTCTTCATCCTTCTTCAAGCCTTCTAATTCAAACAAGGTATTGTAATTTTCCAGCATTTTTGTCATTATCTTGTTGCAGATCTCCTGCTCCTTTATCCCTTCAAATCCAGAGGGCACGCTAGAATTGGAGAGATGACAAAGCAGAATGTTACACGGACTCAGCATACAAAAGACCCTGCAGAGGATCTCCAACATTTCATTTGTGGATACAGGCTGCATAGCAGGCACAGGAAACTCTGTCTTGGAAAGGAGGACTGTGCCTATGCTGGTAACAACTATAATAGTTTGCAGGTTTTCTTACTGATATTAAATATCAGACCTGTTGGCCAAACTACCCTCTCTACAGAGTCCAGGTAGGGATAGAATTGAGACAGTCACCAAATGAGGTGTCACCAACTCTGCAGTAAGCAGGGTTTCATGACCCACAGTGCAGATAGCTCAGGCATTCAGATGCTCTGAACTGTTAATTCAAGAGTCAGATTCCTCCAAAATGTGGTTCTCAAGTGTACACAGGAAGGATAAGCGAAAAAATTAAGAAATCCCACACGCTAAGCAAAACACTGAAAGTTAAACAAGGTCTTTTTCTTCAGATGACCCAATGCTGTAGACCAGATTTTTTAATCCAACTTTTGAGTTACCATTTCTTTTGAAAGTAGGGTCATAACTCAAAGGGCTCTTTCAAACATGGAGATGGATGCTGCCTTCTGCAGAAGAGCCTAAAAGATTAACACAAAAAGTGGTTCCTAAGCTCCATTTTCTAGGAGAATAACCAACTACTTGGCCACTGAAGAAGCGGCTTCTTTCTCTATTGAAACAGGTTTCTTTGCAGCTTAACACAGACCTTAAAGGCACACAGAAAAGGGGAGAAACTGTACGCATCTGCATGTTTATGTATTTCACACAACTCTCTCATGCAGCAAAAATGTGTATCATTCACAACAGAGCTCATAATTCACTGAAGCATCTAGTGATCATCTGCTGGAATATAAGCTTTCTGATCACATTACTGGACAATTTTATTGGCCCCAAAATGACTTAAATTCAGTTTTAATGCAAAAGTACATCCTCTGCAATCATTCAGTGTTTCCTATTGTACAGTATTTCCAGCAGACATAGTCTTCTCAGTAAGCCACAAAGTGGCTGCATGGATGTGAACTTCCAAAAGACCTTTTAAGTGGCAGAGACTGATGATTGGGAGTAATGAAACACAGGAAAGATTTGGCATGAAGAAGCAGAGAAGCCAAAACCAAAAAAAAGTTTCAAGTACCTTTTGGCTGAAGACAACAAGTGGTTATGGGAGAAGAACACACAACTCAATCCCCGAAAAGCAAAACAAATTGCCTTGGGCTATTTTACAGGGATGTAACTTGAAAGTAAACCATCGCTTACTGCAAAGAGTAAATAAAAATTTACAAATAAGTACCTACCCTAAAATTGCAACTGTAGTTTATTGAGGCCAGATGTACATTTCAACAAGAAGACTCTGAAAGCTGATCAAAAAGTGCCTTTTTGTAGGGGCTATTGATCCTTCTCAATGCTTTATTCTCTGCCATACATCTACGTGTCAATAGGGAGAGTAACTCACTATGGCAGAACACATCTTCGTAAACTACAGAAGAGTGTCTTTATTACTATCATTTCAACATTTAATACATGCTAGAGTAGCAGGACCTGAATTTTAAAGGATTGAATTATTTCACACTGCAGAATATTGGCAGCTGTAGAAATGTGTCAGTCTCAGCTGATTGATTTCATTAGTGTGGAAGCTGGCCTCGGTCTAAATAAGGAACAAATGGGACAACTTCTGTTGATGGATGTGCATGTACACTCAGGCCAATTCACTTTGAAGAATGTTACATATTCACTAAAACTTAGTAACTGGCCTGAAGAAAGTGTATGTATGCAGTAGGCCCATGCAATTATCCTGACTCAAGAAAACCCCTCTTGCCATGCTAAATGATGTGCTCCAGTGTTAGTGTCCTGCAAAGCCTGCATGCTTGCTAGTTCAGGCAAATCCTGACTATTAGCTTCCTGATTTGTTTCTCCACAAAAGAGTACAACTTAAATAGCAGCATCCCTATAAATCTCATTCCCAGGAAAAGGACTGAAAATGTCATAGAGCACATGACTGGAGCACATGACATTTCTGGAGTTGAAATAAGACTCCACATAGCAGAATTTTCACCTAAACCACATCTGCTGGGAACTACAGCCAACAGCTCCCTACTGGCAACAGCTAATACCAAAAAACTCTACCTGGCTGAAAAACAGTCCAGTCTAAAAAGTTTCCACATAGCACAAAAACAGTATTTACTTTCTGCCCAATTCTTGCCCTCCCTTCCCCACGCTATCCTGTCAGTTAAAATTTATTAAATTAAACTTGTGAAAAATCCAACACCATATTTTGAATAATTCTGTATGAGTATAGTGAGATACATATGCAAAAAAACAAGGCTAAAGCTCCTGGCTTCAGTCTTTTTTAACACTTCTTACTGAGGGAAACTAAGCAAAGGACCATGAATTGATTTATTTTAATGGAAATTTAACATATTTTATTCATTTCCACTTCTCTACCTCTTAAACAGGCATATTTAACAAAGTTTCTAATATATTTCTCCTACAATTGCTATTATGAGACTTCAATCACGATAAGGACTATTACACTCTGAGCTCTCCATGGTGACATTTTCCTTTCAACAAATATAGGCTGAGCTGAAGATAAGTTTATATTATGAGCACACAGCACTCTGTCTATTTATACAAAGTAAACTCCATCTGCTGTCACACTGCATGATCTACCAGTTTGACTAGACTTTTTTGAAAATGTGTGTAAAAAAAATAGCATTTTACTTTAGCTTTTCACATTCTGAAAAGTCACGACATCTACAAATGTCACTTCAACTGACTAGAAAACCCCAGATCTGTGAGAAAATATTCTCTCACACTTCCACTTTCCTGATGCACACCCTACTCCTTGGAAATTTTTCATGATCATTTGTGAAGATCTTGTTAAAACATCACAGTATAAATCTGTTCATAATCATGGTTCCCTTATGTCTATTTTCATGTTAATTAGGCATTACAACAGCGTTGCTTTGAGAGTTAGACACACAATTTACTCCAGTTACAAAATCCTCAACAGAAGGACTTCATCCCCTTACAGCCACGTACATACAAATTACTTCAGTAGCAGCACCAGAAGCATCAGTTTCACTACCACAAACACCAGAAGGGTGGCATAAACCTGCAATTTCTATGAAGAAAAAGTGTTGATAAGTTCAGATCTATCTTAGTGATTTAAGCCAGAAAACTCCCACTTAAGTTATCACAGTGGCTTGCAAAGTCATCAACAGATACACAGCTCGGGCAGAGCAGGACCAAATTCTCTAGCGTCCCTTCCCTTACATTCCCCAGACACTTGCCCTTCCCAGAGAGATGCTCTGAATGATCTGTGTGCAAGGCACAGCATGTCCACATTAAGTATTTGGAAAAAATACTTAATTGGAAAAATACTTATTTGGAAAGAATACTTAATTGCTGGTGCCTTGTCTAAATGAGGCACCAGCATTAGCAGTATCTGACACGGTTAAGAAGGGTCAAGGGCAAAGGTGCATCAGTACCACAAGTTTTGCAGGATATTAAAAACTGAACTTATTGGAGAAGTCATTCTAAAGCAGAAAAAGCAGTGGTTCTCAAAGTTAAAACATTACTTGGTAATCGGACCAGGCTGTCAGCTTTTCATTTCAAAATCCGATACCCAGCAGCATTTCACATTTCTGCACAATGTCCTACAAGCATGGCTGGCCCACCCATACAGCTCCTGTCCATGCAGACACCACACCCACATGCTCCTTGGGTTTTCCAGACTGAATCCATGGCTCCTTCCACACAGATGCTCAGGAAAGCTTGTCTCAAAGGGTTAAACCACAGCAACGCTGTGTGTCACAGTTTTTATTCAGAAGTAAAGTGACCTGAGGTCAGATTAACTCACTGTGAAAGAATTCCTTACATCTCAGGCATTTAGTTAAATGAATTTACCTCAGGGTCTCTGTAAACAAGCTGCAACAGGCTGAAAGCAGAGTGGGCTTTCCAGACAGTGAACCTCCAGGCTCTACTGAGAGCAGGGCAGTGACACACACAAACATGACTGCACGTGGCACAGGACAGGCATCACTACACGCCTCTGCCATCCCCTACCACACCTGGGACCCTTGCTTCAAGTGGCCAGGAGGACCTGGGAAGTAGTCATCTGTCTATAATGAGCTGAACTGAGATCACCAAAAGGATTTCCCCAGGCAGCAACTGCTGACAGTTCCCTGTCACAACTGAGAACCGGAGATTTCCATGCGAAAGGGTCATCTCATTAGGAATTCCCAACAGTGTTTGACCCCACCCTGTCTAAGATGAATGATGCACATTACCATTTCCCCAAGTGGCAATGCAGAAGCAGCTTGCGTGGAATGACAAAACTGCAATCCTAATTTACGGCCACGGAGGGAGGGCTGTATATTCTATAAACTACTTTTGCTGCTTGTTCAGTACCTTTTGTAGAGAAGCACCACGAAGTCACCTTACCATTCTCCCAGATAATCCTGCCAGAAATGAAGGGGCTCAAAAGACAGGACACATTGCATGGATTTTTTATTTCTCCAGCCCCAGCAAAACATTTTCATTAGTACATCAGATGTCCATGAGTCCCTCAACAAGTACAACTGGAGATTTTGAGAGCTGAGTTGCAGTAATTCATAGAGGTTATAACTTGAGGCAGTCTGTTCTGTGCCTCTAGGTGGACTTGACTGTGTCTGTAACCCATGCAACTCGTGGCCATAACTCATCCACTTCAGCTGACGAAAGGGATTTTTCCTAACACACCAGTCCTCAAACTGGTGCAGCTGGAAACAGGCACATACTCATGTATGCAGACTCTGCTGCAAGATCACAGTCTAACGAGTAGTTAAAGACACAGCAACGCTCACTTGAGGAAGGTGTTTATCTCAGTCTGTGTCGTTTACGTGCTCTGCATCATTTGCAGACTTACATCTCACCAATCTGGGTGAAATGCAATGACAGATGCAACTACTGAGATTTTCCAGAAGTGTTTTAACTCCTATGATACTGGAAAATCCTGGAGAGTCAACTCTGGGGCATATATCTGCCTGCCTGTTAAAGTCTGTTCCAGATTATTTTCTCTAGGATAAGATTTATTAGCCTAGATTACTCGGTAATTCTGTTCTATTAGCATTGCTTGAAAAATAATAAATAATTAATAAAAAATAATAGCACTAATAAATAATAATAAAACAATAGCACATAATGAATGACGATAATTAATAATAAAATGCAAAATGCAGGCAACACGGGTAACACAAAGCAGTTAGAGCAATGAGCCCACAAAGGCTTTACCAACTGGCTTAATTTATATGCAAAATCTTTTGCTTCAGCAAAAGCTCCAGTTTTCATCACAAAATTACAGCGACAGTAGGCATCTTAGAGAGTGCAACCTACATTAAAAGGGGACAAAGGGTAGTCCATAGCCTAACATCCCCTTACAAAGTACATTGCTCTCATCTCCAAATATTTCAAAGCAGAGGCTCTTCAAAAGCACTCCTTGTGATTGTATTTGAGCTGTAATGCTGAGCTCAAATATTCATGACTATTTAATATGATTATGGATGAGAACACTTATAGCCTTGCTATATTATGCTTGATGTTTTAAACTGTCATTACAGGCTTCAGCATACTGAATACTTATGAAAAATTCCTTTACAGTGCTGGAAAACGCAGTACTTAAAACCTATATGAACTCTGTAAGAAAGGTTACAGCTGCATGCTCCAATATGCAATAATTAATGTTTAAACAACAATGTAGAGTACTCAGTTTTCCCCTGATCCTGGGTGTACATTTCTTTTGAAGACCAGGGCTGCACTGCCTGAAAATTTCATTACTCACTGAGGAGTATTAATTCAGCCCCTCTGCTTTCACTTCAGTTTCATATACCCAGTCCGTGCAGGCTCCAAGGCTGCTAGAAACCATGGCAAGACATTCATGTGTAACTTCAGATCAGATTTCAATTCTTCCAAGTTCAGCATCTCTGGAACACCCACAGATACCCTACAATCTATCATTTCCTCCATAGCCAAAGACAATATACTTTTCTTGTTACCTTTTGTGTAATTTCTGTTATGTAGTCATTATACATAAATATATGTAATATATTACATATATTTGTTATATGTAATATATTACATATAAATGTATCTAACTCCAGCATTTTAACTAGACACCTGCATTTGTCAGCCACTTTTGGGGGAATGGAGCAATCCCTCACAACACGCTTAATCTCTGTTTGAATGAAACATAACCAAGTCAATGAGGACTTGAATGATGGAGGCCACACACAGAGATCGCTGCTTGAGAGAGAGCTGCAAAAAATGGGTGCAGATGGATTCTCTGATTACTCTGTTAGACCTCATGTCCTACCATGCCAACCAAAGGACAGGATAAGGGCAGCAGCTCCTTTGATACCCAGCTCCTGGAGAACAGAGAGGAGGTGAGAAACCCAGCTGGTCCTCTCCTTTTCATCATAAACTGTTAGAGCTAAGCAGAGCCCACACAGCAGGCCTTAACTAAGGCTATGTCTCTCCAAGAGCTAAAATTCAGGTCAATGGACAATAACTTCCTCCACAAGTAACCACACTGCAAATGTTAATGCTCTATACAGATTAGCCCAGTGACAGAAAAGACAACTATTTTTGTTCCTTCATGTTTGTTGTTCCTCCAGGGCTGTATTTCTCAATATACTTGACCTTTGCCTTCCATCACAGTAAATCTGAACAATCCAAGCTGTGAGAAAACAGTGAATCAAATCTCAAATCTTTTTTTTTTTTGAGCTGTTTGACCTTGCCCTTTACAAGTTCTTATATCTTACATCACACTTCATTACAAGGAATGCAAATAGCTATTTTTTCCCCTTCTATTCATTAGAAATACAGAAAGCACAAGATAATCTTTCTTAGAAAAGCACCAGTGTAGTTTGTCAAACAGGAAGTAAGGAAGCAGGGGAAGTAGTGGATAAGATAAAAGCAGTAAGGGTTGAAAGTTTAGGAGATGGGATACATTACAGAGAATATATGATGTAGAAAAGCAAAGTGAGATTAAGAGACTTAAAATGAAGCCTAAGTATCTGGAAAGTGGCCAAACAGCATGATTTATTCAACTGTTAAACAACTTCAGTTATGGAGTAGGAGATACTATGCTTAAGTAGCTAAATTGTCACTAAAAATACCTTGCCAAAAGAAGTCCTTCACTATCAGCAGATGGGCTTTATCTTCTCTGACACTGTGCATTAACTACACAGATTCTGACATTAATTTTAGGCATGAGTGTGAATTTCTGACAGGAAAAATCTCAGCTCTCTCTGCTTCGGCAGTGTAATTGCTGACAAGTTGGATGCTGAGCCTTCTTTCCTTGTTGTGGAGAAACCCCCCATGCACTGCTCTGAACAAACAACGCAAAGCGAGAGGAGCATTTGCTTCAGCCTCCTGCCAATATTTAATTTCTGCAGCTCCTCCATGGGCTGCCTGCAGCCACTAGAGAGAGACAGCCCCTGCCAAGCAGGCTTCAGGCAGCCTTCTTCTGTAGCTCTGAAATATGTTCTGAGGATCTCCGTCTGGATGCTTGGCCAACCAACTGGTTAAGCCCAATACCTAAAAATAGTGCTGCAAGTTCTTTCCTCCTCCTATCAAATTTTTCTTTGTACAGATGGTCACAGTTCCAGCAATATAAGACTGCATCCATTAACACAGGAGAAAAGGGTATTTGAACTGTTGCTCACAATCTTTGTGTCTGGACCACAAGACTGAATTGCCTCGAAAAGATCAAGATCTGATGAAACACACAGCTGAATTATCACACGGTGAAACTTAGTTTAAATAAAAATCTACATCCCTAATTCTAATCTATTTTGAGTCTTTAAAAAACACATTAGCCATTTGGTAAGTGTCAAGCTTTGCTTTCAATGCCTCTTTTGCTACAAGAGCCTTTATTTCAACATGTCACATCTGCTGGGCTGGTTATACTCACATACAGACTCATGAGCCTTTGGTTTTTCACCTCCAGTGAACTCTGCCTTCCTCAGTCTTCTGCAGTGGAATGAGGTGTCTCCATCTCTGTACCTTACAAAAACTCTTATATCTTTTCCATGCTGTCTTAGGAGCAGAGATCTGTTGTTGCAACAACTGTAGAGCTTTTAACACATACAACTTTGGTTTAATGTTAGGAATGCCAATTGCAATTCTGAATCACAATCCTCTGCATCTACACCAAAAAAAAAACACAGCTAATTTTTAAACTCTCCCGAAAGAAGAGATGAGTAAACTAAAAAATATTCTAATAGCCACTTGGGAGGTTGAGTCATAGAGATTTAGCCATTGAACTCAAATTCTACTAATTACTTTGTTTATTCTGAACTCTGCTAATACATTGAGACAGGAATTCCCAAACTACCCATATGAATGCAGGTTTAAAAAATTGTTTTGCTTTTCCTTGTCAGAAATTCGCAGTATAGTGCTTCCAGTAACGCTCATATTCATGCATTCCCATGCACACTACTGTTTTTTGAGCACTTTTTCTTTTGGAGAGGAAAACAATTTTAAAAATACATTTTATCTTTTTGTACTAACACAGCAAATGCTTCAATCCTGAAATTCACCTTCATCATCCTTCTGCAACATCTTAAGATAAGGCAGCCATGTAGGACAAGCTTTAGTTTAAGCATCTCATTCCTGGTTGTTCTCTCTCTAATCAATGGAAAAAGATATGCTCCTTAAAAAGACAGCAGGCAACACCTATCCTAGGTATGTGGAACTGTCTCAGTGTATTAGAGGAACCTAACTGCTGTTTTCTCTTTAAAGAAATCTACTTCTTTCCAAGAGGAAGCTCAGAGGGATAGATTAAATTAATTGCTTCATGAGACTAAGTTTTTACTAGACAACTCAGTATTAGTCCAGAGCGATATTTTACAAAGATCAATACAAGTGCAACATTGATACAAGGAACTCATTTTTCTCTTTTTGGTGATATCATGCATCTTTCAAGACTATGACTGAATTAAACTCCTTAGGTGTCTCCCATGTCCAAGATCTTGGATGCCAGCCAGCAGTGGTGCTAACACTGCACTGCATCACTGCAGTGACTCAACAGAAACCTTCTCATTCAAAAGTGTTCTTGCACCTAGAAATAACTCTTCTGCTACCACTGCAAGCTTCACCAGCATGTAAAACACGTCTTCAGCGCAAGCACCCAGGAACAGCGCCCACTGAAAGAACCTAGTAAAACTATCGAGTCCCATAAGGAGTTTTAAGAGACAAGTGGATCCCCACAAGCTCCAGAGCAGTTTCTGAATACACTAGAGGGACAGAGAGCCCAGAAACATCAGCGTCTGAAGGCAGACACCAGATCACAAGGCCAAACACGCAGACAGTATGCAGTATCCATCTCTAGAAATTATATAGCAGCTGGGTGCTGCATTGGACTCCTTTTGCACCAAAGATCCACCAAGGTTTTGTCAAAGCCTTCCAGAAAAAAGTGCTCATATTAACCGATAGCAAAGAAAGAAACCTGTAAGAGCACAAGTCTCCTTGCATGGGCACACTCTGAAGGCCTTTCACTGTTATTATACTTCGGCTCTGCTACCAAAGCAGCAATACAAAACTGATCAACAGTTTAGCAAACAGCAAAGGGAAATGGGAGAACAACTCCACTTCCATTTGGCTCAGAAATAGCTTTAGCACTGAAGTTTAACCCAGAGCCCCAGTCACTGTCTCCATCTGATCACCCTGACAAATCAGACTTTTGGCATCTACATTTCTGGCCACATGCCAGCAAACAGGGAAAAGTAAAACGCCCAACTTACTGAAACAAGTTTGGTCCAAATACAGTGGCAAGATTGCAAAGATTCATCCTGTTCTCTACGTGATGTTCAGCAACCTTTATCAGGAAGTGGCACAGGTACTTCAGCAGGCAGTAATGAGCATCAGGCAACTCTTTAAGGAGTTCTTTCAAGTAACTTTCCTTCGGCATATCATTTCTAGAGTCTAGAAAAAGGAAGAGAAGAAAAAACATATGTATATTTTCTTCATTGCTGCCAACTTAATTATGTGGGTGAGCAAGCAGTGGGAGCTAAAATTCACTCCTGCTTCTGCTCAGAGACACACAACTCCTCAGTTTTCCTCAGGGGACAAGCATGTTTTGTCTGAGGCTCGCCCTGGCCACCAAGGGCGCCATGTCATTCTTACCTTTATGCTGTAACCTTTTTCCTGAGCAGATTGAGAAGTTACAGTCAGCTAAGAGCTTTACAGCATGTTTATCCCCACCTGGCACAGCTAAATCTGCTTTAACTCCCTCTACCAGATCCTCAGATTCCGTGCTCCTTCTAGATGTCATCCCTATGTCCCAAACCCTTCTCATACTATTAGTTCTTCTTCCCATGAAAACCTTCAAAAACAAGAAAACAAGAATGGTAAAACAAAGAGTCTCCTGAAATGCACAGTGTTGTAACAGCACTATAGTAGCTTCTGTGGGTGACAGCTCTGCTACAGATTCATGAAGGAGTCTCCCTTCCTGGGACCCAGACTGTTCTGGGCACTGCCACACTCCAAAGTGAGTCAAAATGCATCCTCGTGTTAGAGAGTAGCCTTGTTATACTGTACAGTCTTCTAGAATTTAGGTATGGATAAAAGTTTCCCATACTGAAATGAGTCACATCCAAGTATTAAAGTAAAAATTGCATGAACTGCACAGATGCTGTGTTTATACAGACTTGGGCGGTGAACACAAGCTTGGCCTCACACACAACTTCTACTTAATTGTGTCCTGCTGCTGGAATTGAACTCGTGCAAATTTTTTGCTCCTCTTCTCTGTCCCAAAAACATCTTCCAAGGAGTGATTTGTACCCACTAAAATCTTGGGTTTACATGTCAATAAAAGCAAAGTTTTGAAAACAAGTCAGTATTGCCTCCCCATATTTATACCAAAACAGGATGTGTTAATCCTTGCAAATATTAATTTCTAATCTCCACAAAAGTGAAATCTTACTGAAACTTTCACATATGCATGAAAACCCCAAGGACTCTGCAACATCACTTTAAGACAGAAGATCTCATGCCCTAAAGGTTTTCCGCACCAATCTAATTATAAGCAGTGTCCATTAGCATGAGGCCATCTGTGCATTTCTAGTACCTTCTTCTTTATTTATCAGCCTTATGGGTTGCTGGTGCTGCTCTGCTGTATGCCCTGCTACCAGCATGCAGAGAAGACTGGCAGGAAAACATCCCATGGCTTGTGTTGCAAGATAAAAACAACATTTCACATTTGCTCCACGTTTTTTTAGAGAGAAAAAAAAAAGGAAGGGTAAACAAAAATCTTTGAACGTCATTTAATATATGTATAAACACTTCAGAAGTCTCATGTTTGTCTTTACCTTTCATTCCCCAGAAATATTCCAGCGCTGAGCTGAACAGTGTTTCAGGAGTAGAGTGCTTTGAAAAGTGGTTAGCAGTGAAAATTAGCAGTCTGTATAAAAATACATGAAAGTGACCTCTGAGAACTCAGTCACTGGTTGCAGTATTATTTCTGTTTTACAATCAGACATTTTTTATGGCTAATAAACAGGACTCATCCTGCAAATAGTTGGGCAAACAAATGAGGTTTTTTATATACTTATTTGCCACTTCATACAGCTGAAACTTGAGGGACTTCATTTGCTTCCAGACTTAGGATTCCCGCCTTACCTGACATGCCTAATGCTGTACATGGCAAGAAAGCCTTTTTAAGTTTTATATGCATGGTGAATTCACTTTTGTGAACTCTGTTTTGGTACCACAGACTTAGTAAGAATTCTTTCATCAGAGCAGACCAAAGCTTAAAATGCCAGTCATATTACAAATGTTAATATTACATATTAAGACAAAACATTTTAACCAATTGATTAATTATATCCTTTTCTTCTACAAATAAGAAATTAGCTCCTTCAGAAAAGTCAAATATCAAATATGCATGAGGCAGAAAAAAAACCTGATTTGCTTGCTTATCACAACCCTTTTTTACAGTTACAGAGAGGAAAAAACAATCATGACTTTACTACTATCAATCAGCTTGGCAACAGCAAGAAATCTGATCTATTATTGCAGCAAAATTTCAGGAGGCTTCTGAAGGCTTTATTAAATGGAATAATAAGGAATTTCAGTGCATTTGTACTTGCACTGATCAAAGTGGACTGTATAGTCTCTGACTTGATTACTAATTATCTTTTCATGAATCTTAAAAGAAAACAAGACACAACTCATTTCCATGTAGCCAAAACATTAAAATTCACCTCCTAACATACGTTTCTTCAGGTAACAAAGCAACTAGCACAGTGTCTTCTACTACAAATTGCCTGCAGTAATGATAAGGAAAGCCAAAGCCATCTCTCAGAAAAAATGTCCTTCTTCCATCTCCATCACCCTGTCATCTAATTAGGCAATGCCCTTGATAACTAACTGCCTCCCTGAGTCTCCCACTGGGACTTTAGACTGATGGGTACTTTTTCATTTACTGGAGGAATTTCCATCCCTTCCAAGCTAGGAAGATGCTAATAACCACCAGAAAACATTCCGAACACAGTTTTGCACTCTGACAACAAACACAGCTATTGGGCCCGTGGCCTTAGTAGCATTTTCTGGGTAGGATGTCCCTGTTGATTAACCATGATGTTTTATGGGGTGCGAATCAACATCAAAAATGTTATTGCGGGGCACAGCCAAACCTTTGTTTGTTTCTGTACTTTCAAGAACAGAGACAGACACCACAAGATCATGAGAAATTACCCTAACTGAAGGACGTGGAGACACTGAGTAACATGAGGCAGCAAACCCCATTTACTGAGCCATCAAATTCCTTCTCCTTGTGAAATCTAAGAAAGAAATTAGGGCTTTGCTCCCTCTCCTTCTCCAGTGAAGAGACAAGGGAAGGAACTCAAGTTTTTCTTCCAAAAGAATGCAAAAATCAAAAGCAATTTGTTGATTCTTCTGCTGATGACATTTCATGGATTTCAGCTTTATTTTTTAAAAATGCTTTTATAATTCATGGTGAATCTAGACAGTGACATGCATAGACAGTATTCTGTGCACTTTGCACAGTTCTCAGGACAAGTGCATCACTGCTATCCATGGCTGTATTTATTCAAATATAACAACTGGTCAAAGCTGCTCTTTATTAGAGAGCAAAAATAGTCTTGAGTCATAACAATTTTTTGGAGCATTCCACCTCCTTTTCAGTTTGCTTCAAAATCAGTCACTAAGGTTTACTGAGCTGGTAATGACTATCAGAAAAACATCAAAGCACCAGGGTGGTTTATGCTATTCATGATTTTCAAGCACAGCATATCCAGTTCTTTTGAAAATTTTGCATAGGGGAAAGGAGAAAAATAAGAATGAAGGCTAAGAGGAAGGTGCTCTCAAGGCAGACAAAGACATTCAACTTTTTATTTTGGGAGCCTTCCAAAAGACATGTGCAATAGACGGCATCTCAGCCAAGGCCTGCAAGAGAAGCCTAGCTAGATGTGCAGTCAGGAAGGGCTCGAAACCAAGAACGAAACTGAAGGGACTGGGCTGAGGAACCGAACAAAACCAGCAGCCTCAGGCCATGTCTAGGCTCAGCAGCCAGAGGACGTAAAACACAGAGGACCAAGGAAGGCAGCAAGGGCAGTTGGCACCTCAAAGCTGAACTAGGGACTCATTACTGAGGAACGAGTCAAGGAGTTAAGTGAAAAGGACAGGCAGCCTCTCCAAAAATGTTAATTAACTACAAACAGGAGTCTCAACAGTGTAGGAGGTACAGACACATTTGTGAGGGTGTTCTCAGCCTCATTTAGTTTCAGCATACACCCACAGCTCACAACCAGAGGGACATATTTTCCAATAGTTCATGCTATTTCTGAACATATTGAGTGTCTCTGACATACTAGAGACACAATCTAATTCCCTAATTCATCTCTGTTCATGTTACTCCTTCAAGTTGCCTGAACTTCACTAAAGACGTGGAATTCCTGCAAGCAGGTGTGCATAATTGTTTTGCTGAAGTCTCAAATGGTCTGACCCCAGACGACTCCAGCCCAGAAGCACTGAAGTCACATTATCACAGTGCCCTCGCCAATTATCTGTGCTGTGAGGTGAGGAAGAGAGCCTATTGCTCAGTGTCATGCTACCACTGCATAGCTTCCAGCTGCCTTGCATGCTACCAGACCGGAGGGCAGACAGCAAAGCTTGCATCTGTTGGCAGCTCTCAATGTGCCCTGGGAAGCTGATCCCTGGCACAGAGGCAGCAGGTTGTGCACTGCAGTACCACGGCACCCACTGGGCTGTGGGAGGAATTAAAGCATTTCTTTCCACTTCTGCAATCTATAGGAAGTGGAACTCCAGTCTCTCTCTGCCAAGAAACAATCTGCTTCAGACACCGTCCCTCAGACATGATCCTGCCCCAGAGGGAAAAAAAAAATCATGCCTTGCTGCCATCAGGAGCAGAAATGATGTAAACCTTCCTCATAAGAAGGCTGCCATCACAATCCAGCTTGAGACACCTCACTCTCTATCATTACAGCACTTTGCAGCACTGTATTTATCCTTCATTCCAACATACTGGAGGAAGAGCACACTTCTTTTGCAACTCTGGTGAATGTCATCTGTATAAAAATCCAGTTCCAAGAGTTTTTACTACAAAACAAATATCCTCATCACATGGAAAATAGAAGTTATTTCTCTAGCTTGGAAACAGCTCCGATAACACTAAAATTACCATAAAAGCCAAAGAAAAAGGTTAAAATCATGTCAGAAGAGCCTGGTGAATCACAGATCTCTAAAGAATCAGATTTGGTGCACTGCTGCAGTTACCATGGTTAAAAGGTCAGCTCTCATCTATTCATTTTCACAGTCATTGTTCAGATTGAAATTTGACCTCTAAAATCCCCAAGCACAAGCTGTATTTTTGGTTCTGCTTGTTCATGTAACTCAAATAGCTGCTGGCTACTAAGTGTTCTGTAAACTGACCTGTTGATCCGGAAGGGAGCTGCTCCTTCCCTTCCACTGCCTCCCATCCCTCCCCCTGAAAAAGGAAAGGCTGTTCACAGGCACTAGACAAAACCCTGCCAGCCATCACAGGCTGTGAGCAGAAGGAGGTATGTGAAACAGAACTCATGTCTTGCTGCTGTCCACTGAAAAAGTATAAATTCTATAGGATGAGCAATGTCAAGAAGCCAGAATGATGAAATAGCATTAAACTTAATTAGACTGAGTAAGAAAGGAAGACAGAGTTCGTATTTCACTGTACCTCCACTGGAGGAGGGAATGAAACATCAACAGAAAGAAATTTACAGTACAGTAGCACTTTGTCTTGAGGAAAGCCAGTGACCTGTGAAAGGGGTAAGAGCTGTGCATACAGTTCCCAGTATGTACAGATGTCTTAAGAACCAGTAATCACGATACAGAAGATAAGGAATGAAAAGCCAGAGGGAATAAACAAGCTCAGACAGGGATTGCTGTATGGGAGCTGCTAATATCTGGCTGAGGTTTCTCAAAGCACAGCCCATTTTGCACAAATGGGATCGGCTCTGCTCTGCAATGAAGCCTCAGCCACAAAAGAGATTTTGATGGACATTTTTCATCCCAGAACTCCCCATAAGGAGCAGCCTTTAATTGTTAGGCACTGTGAGGAGACTGGCCAACAACAAGGTCACTCTCAGTGTGTCCCTGGCCTGCGCTTGCAACACACATCTCCGATCAACATCCCATCTCCCACTGCCACCGTCCTTCTCCAAGGACACAGAGAGAATGCCAGGACACACCTCAGTACACTACAGGATGTTTTATGGAGCTGCTTAGTCTTGGCAATATGCTGAATATTTATGTAAACAGAAGTACTCTAAGATTTGAGGGCAGCATGCAGAGCTCTGTTTCACACAACACTGCACAGGCTGCAGATAGCAATGCCAAACCAGCTGTTTGGACTTCCTGAACACCAACAGGACAGCTTCTCTCTTTCATAACAGGGCAGATTACTTCTCTTTGATTTGGTAACAAATTTGATAGCTGGAATTGAAAAGGGTTACAGCTTTTTAACTAGAGTTACAGCTCTTTTTAACAGTACAGCTATTTTTAACTAGAGGAATCACTCTCTAACCATTTCTATAGTAAGTAAAGTAACTATGTGTTCTTCTCAGGCCAAGATCTCAGCTGGCTTAAAAAATGCTGATAACAATCCCTAAAAATACACCAAAGGAAATCTAACATAATCCTTAAAAAACCTTTCCCATGCAAAGCTTCAACAGAAGGGAACGCAGAGGTTGTGACAGAGCTTGTATTTGCCTTCACTGCAGACGTGTCGCAAAGTGGCTCCAGATTCAAAGTTATTTTTTAATAACTTGTTGACTCAGAAACAGTTTGACCTACTCTTTTCACAGTTTACAAAACGAACACCCAGGCATGCACTCTCCTGGTGCCATTTTGCAACCAATACACTTGCACATACTTTGATAAGTGAACAGATAACTCCTGCAAACCTGCACAGCTGGTTGATCATTTAACTGCAAGCAAATGCCCACCTACCACTTAAACTTAATCTGAACACAATGAAAATCATCAGTGCCTTTCATAACCACTCATTGATGCTTTGTTTTCTAGGGCGTGAAAAACCCTTCAAGTTTTCTTCAAACTTTACAAAAGCCTTCCCCTTGCCACAACAGCCAACTGGCATTTTTTGAGTAAGACTTTTTATTCCCTAATCAAAATTATATTGGCACTAAGCTTGATCTTATTGTGAAATACAGGCAAACTTAGTTATGAAGACACATCACAGCTGGATTTTTGCAGAACTGGGTTCATAGGTTACACCAGTAAGTTTATTTGGAAATAAGAAAGTTTGGTGAGTAAATCTGCTAAGTAATGACACCTGTCTCATTTCCCTAGAAAGTACTGGGGATTTTGCCTTTCCTGTGGGAGACAGAACAAATTAACCTTTCCACAAATACCACAAACAGCACTGTTCACAAAGGACATCAGTAGTTCCTGGTACAATACACCAATATGACCTTTGTGGGGGACAGAGATCTGGAACAGCAAAGGTGTGACTTATTTATTTTTTAATTTATTAAAAATATATAATATTTAACTTATTATTTATTATTAATTTACACTTAAGCTGTGAGTTATGAGAAAGAACACAAATACAGCTCATGAGTCAGACCTGGTGAAATCTGAAAGTCCCCAAAGAATGCACAGCAATGAACAGAAAAAAGGGAATTTCTAAAACAACAGCACCTTCCTACACAACACTTCCTGAACCCTATCCTTGTGCCCCAGACAACTTTACTAAATAGGGAAGGTATTTTACACAGTTCACATACAACCTACAGCTGAAATGTCTGCACTCAAGGTAAAGCACAAAGCTCTTCTCCAGCGCACCATCAACACTCCCTATAGTCCACAAAACAAAACAGAGAAAGAAAACAAATGGCACTATTCTCATTCCTCTTGGAAATGGCTAAACCTCCTCTCCACTGAAGGCAAGAAAAGTGGAAGGGAGACCTCAAGACGAGAGTCTGAGAACTTTGCATCATCTTCCACTAGGGATACCTGTCAGAGAGCATGCTTCTCCTCTGCCTTCTCCAGCAACTTTACCCACTCACCTTGCAGCTTCTTAGGAAAACATACAGAAGAAGTGATGACTGCCTTCAGCAAGAGAGATGAACTGTCAGTGACCCACATGGTCAACGAACAGGGCCAACCACCACTTATTCCACCTACCATCACCAGAGATTGTCAGATACAGATGAATTAGACTGAAACTTGAATAATCCTCTTTAAAATGATTTCTCAACTTTCCACAGCAGAAGTGCTGCTCCTTCCTATGGTTGATCTACTACTTGAAGGTGGATGAGGGGGCATGAATAAAACAAAAAAAGAAATCCTCCAGGTTGTGTGCTATGACAGGGAATAAAACATAAAGTCTGCTGTTACTTGCTAACTGGTTCTTTTTTTTGATGGACAATCACATTACTTAGTGAGAAGCAGAAACTTTGGCAGTGTATGCTTTTGGCCCAATCTGACAAACAGATGAAGTACTCACTTCTCAGAGTCCATTACAATGAAAATGCCAGGAACCACCCCAGTAAACAGAAGTAAATCTATGTCCTAAAGAGACTGCAATTATTTTCTACAAGCATACCCTAAAAAGACAGCTGATCATTTCACTTTTTATTCAACAGATATAACTGGATTAGAAAATCATAAATAGTCCAGACTTTACTAAATATATGAGAAACATTTTTCTGCCTCTTGTAACAGAACTGCACATCAAGGGGCAGGTAAGAGGTGAAGCCAAAGCAAATGAGGAACAAAGTAAGTAAACTAAGAAACCAGTTATCCAGGAAGAAAGTGCATAGAAGGACGAACACTTTACCTCTCACTTACCCTGGTAAAGCTGAATGAACCTGGGATGTAAGGCAGACGTGATAATTCCATCTGGCAACTCTCTCAAAAACAGTTTCAGCAGACTGGCTGCTGAGTACACATCACCATCTTTAACAAGTTCCACCTCTTCCCCACGCTCGTACTGCAGACGCAGCTGCTCCACCATTTTCATGCTGCCGTTCACTCTGAAGAGACCTTCTTGTGTCATTCCTGTAATTATAAATTAAGACTGAGCTAAACCACATCCCAGTAACATAATGAAACAGATGCTCTAGTTTGAATAACACACATGTAGCAATACAAACAAGGGCAATTAATACACCACAACATAAAAGGAAACACTACTTTGTTCCCAGAAATTCCCTCTAGTCAGGTAGTTAGATTATCATCAATAACAAATACTAATGACAAGACCTTGAGGCCTGGGATACTCTTTTGAGGACCCACAGTACTGCAATGCCACTGAGTTGTCTCACACCATGAGAAACCACTGAGACAGACATTTTCCATTGGTATATTTCGACAGAAAAGGATCCTAACAAAGGACTCTACAAAACACTTCAGCTGTTTCGTTTTTTGCAAGCAGCCCATTACCTTGAGCAGGACTACCATACTAACACATGTGATTACTTCCAGCTTCATGCTCCAGGGTAACAGGTTCTTACCTGTGACCATCATGAGGCAAAAACATCTGATTATGTGTGCTGAGTGCAACAGTAACTCCATAGTGAGTTCTGCAACTTTATGGTAGTAGTAAATCTCAATAAGCAAATAATGTATCGTGAACAGCACAAAGCATTTCACAATGAAAAAGAAATTATATCGATCACTACAGGCCAGACACCCCACACCCAGTAAAGGAGATGTACAAAAAAGTAGGCTTCAACAGTAGAAGCCAGGCTAATCATACTAAATTGAACAACACTTTCTAGGCATTTTGTTAAGATGCAATACCTGCTATGAAGACCCTAAAACTGACCTCAGTAAATTATTTTTTCTCTAGAACACTTTCACCACAAAAATTCTGCCTTTCTGATACTGTGTCTATAGACCTGATTGTTCTTCCTCAGAAGCTTAACAGTAAGAGGATCCAATATGTACTGTTTTCATCAGTTCACACTAGGCATCAAGGAACTGCTATCTGACAGAATGCTTCCAGTCCAGGAAATCAATTTTGAGGCAGCAGAGTTTGTAGAGAAAAATAATCTCTTTTATTGGACTAGAAGACAAACTGCTCTAGTAAGGAGAAAAAAATGGACAAGCACTCAAACATTTTACATGACTTATGTGAGATACTGCTGGCAGAGTTTGTATTCCTGCATTTACAACAAAATGCATTCTCATGTGACATGCTGTGCTGCCATCTCGAGGGCAGAAAACGCCTCATCACAATAAAGATTTTTGTTTATGAAGCACTAGGTGAGCAAAGGCCACAGCCCCCACACAGATCTAACTTCCTTCCCCCTCTCCCACTCATTTATGGAGATAAAGAGAGGCTAGAACATCCTGAAAACAGTAGTGAGAAACAACCAAATACAGTACAGGGAAATTTGGCTTCATCTATAAATTTGGAAATATGCAGCTTAATGCAAACTTAGTTTAAGAAAGTAGCTGCCCAACAGTCAGCTCAGCCTGGGTTGAGAGGACCTTTGTTAAAAATGCCTTCACAGGTAACCTTGCCACTAATTCAGAAAACAAACCTTACACAGGCATGGGACACCAATTTCAACACCTTTCCATTTAAGAGGGTATCTTTGAGATCTTGCTTGCATTTTTGAGAAAAATAATAGCCTTTATCAGGGCCAGACAATCAACTTGGCATTCAGATGCCCAGCTAATCTTGCTGCAGAGTAAAAAACTTGGCTTGTTTAGTCCATGTTTGGGACACAGTCGTGTGGGATTCCAATCTTTTTGGAATCCCACACGACTGTATGGGATCTTTTGGAACACAGAGCACAGCCCACAACTTGCAGTCAAGAGTGTCGGTCAGTTTCTGGTTTTGATTAAACTCTAAATGATGGAAATATTTTTTCATTTTTTTTCTCTTCCAGTGTCCTAGCAAGCCACTCTAAGGCAGGTTGAAGAAGATCAAGCAAGATGCTGCTGTGTAAAGGTAGGATCATGTTTTAAATTTGCATTGTACCTTAATCCCAGCTAATTTTCAAGCTATGTTTGCAGCTATGAGTTTCTGAGCATCTATCAAGATGCAGTCATAGACTCTAAGCCTCTACAATTTGACAATTACAATTGTAATTGTAACTGCTTACAATTACTGAGCAGCTAATAGAAAAACCTTAGGGTTAAACCAGATGCAGCTCCTTAGAAGATGAAATTACCACCACAAAACCTTTTCTATTGTTGACCAAATGCCATGCAAGACACCTGTGCACCAGTGGTGCTGTAGGTTTCTGCAAGGAGATGTATTTCAACAACAGGAACTAAAGTCCCTTTAAATGAATGCAAAGAGAAGCTAAGAACTGAACATCTACTTTCTTGAGGGGATTAATAATAACTGAAATATATCTGAAAACCTGTAAGAACATGTATTCCTTTTCAGTAATATTCTCTGATGGCATGTGTGTGTATGTGTGTGCCTGTGACTATCTCTATACAGAGAAAGTTAAAAACAAATGTTTTGCATCTGGAAGATGACACAAATCTTCACAAATGGAATACATTCCATTTATAAACTGAACAGTGTGTTTACAAGTGTCCTGCTAACTAACTTGTAGTTCACCTTTACAAATATACTAAGAAGTAAGTTCAGTATCAAGGCAGAAAAAAAAAAAAGAAGCAAACCACATACAGTAACATTCTTAGCCTGTGGTTCATGCCACAAAAAAAACACATTCTTCCCTTTGAAGAGTCTTACATAAAGAATGCTACTAGGGAGAAGTGACTCCACTAAGCTTACCATGCTGGGTGAGGTACTCCACTATATTCCACACAACTATCGGGATTCCATTTTTGCTCAGTCCCTGCTGCTGGAGCTCCAGAAGACTCACACCAAACACCTTTGGACAGGTCGTGTCCCTCTGCTTGTTCAGTGGAAGCACAGCTATCTTTTTCATGTCCTCCTTCAGTCTCACAGCCGATTTGCTTTGCTTAAAGGAGCAGAAGGAAGAAAAACATGCATTAGTCACATTTGCTGAAGAAGGTTGTGGTGTGGTCACAACACAAGCACATCCATCAAAAATGGCTTTTACGCTCCAGCACAAGGGTTTTGCCCCACTTTGTTTTAATACACAGGAAAAATCCTCTGTGAAGTATGAAAGTAAAAATGAACTGAGAAAACACTAGAAGAGGAACAAGAATGTAGGTAGTCTGTAGGTAAGGGAGAAAGACTTTTGCAGACAAGCTTGTCACTAGAATAACAAGTAACCGGGAGTAAGCAAGCAGAAGACTGCTGTGTTAACTCAAGAAAATCACATGGGTTACAAAAGCAACTGGACAAACACAAACAATCCAAATACACCACCAGTAGCTCAGCTTGTCTCCAGGATGCCTGTCAGGGCAGTACTCTGGAGAAGGTTCATTACACCCTTCTTCCAAATACTGTTTCCTAGGGATTCATTTTGGCTACTATCAGGTGAGACAGATCCTTATGAAAGATTTTCTGTTGTGTTTAGTATCTTCTAAGTCTGAAATTTAATTACTGAGGTTTTAAGGTTAGGAAGGGGACTACGTAATCTAATCACACATAACAAGGGGGGTGGAAAACCTACTGCACAATAAACCCTTAATCCCATAGGTTCTTCTGGAGGCACAACACTCTCACAAGTTTTGAGTTGCAGTGAGAGAGAAACCATGGGAGGATAGTTAATAAAACCCAGGGGAATAAAACAATATAAGATTAATTTATAGCACTGATAATAGGCAGAAATCTTAATCAGCCTACAGGATTGCACATTTGGGAAGACAGTTCAAGGCAGAGCAGCAGCATCACCCCACCACAGTTGGGTGCAATCACTCTGCAGGAACTGGGAGCCACTGCTACCAGATTTCAATCTGTTTAAGAAGGCCACCACTGGCATGGTGCTTAAAAATAAACTTATTCCTACTGTGTTTCATCAACAAACTGGTAGTAGAAACTGTACACATGGAGAATACTATATAGTAACACAAAAAAGTGCTCAGACTCTAGCCTAAGTCTTGACACTTCACTAAGATAGATTTTATCACAGCATACATATTTATTTTAAACAAGCCTTTAAAATCCCTTCACTTGAGACACAATATTTTTACAGTAGTCTGTAAGCAACATGAACATCTGCTGTTTTGCTATTAAGCAGGACTGTCCTTTCACATATAAAATGATCTGGCAGTTCACTCACTTGGCTGTGCTTTTCCCATTAAACAGTTATTTGAAGCATATGTGTGCTCTACGGTCCCAGGTCCTATCACAACACTCGTGTGATATTTACAGAAGATGTTGCTTATATAAACATCACAAGTATGTTTTACTATTTGTGAAACAGAACCACAATATAGCACTGACCATCTTATAAATATTTATAATGAACAGTAAATTCACCAGTGTTTGAACTAAAATTTGACTAACATTAAAATACCACATCTCTTTTAAAAAGACACGTTCCCATTCAAGACTAAATGAATAATAAACAATATTTATTCCAGGAAGAGACATGACAAGGGAAAAATCATGTAGACTAAGTTGAATTCAGAAGGCAGCAAAAATCCTTTGAGCAGTTTCTGAGCAGCTGTGATGCTCAGTGAGCTTTTCCAATTAAGGCCTTCAATCAGCCTCACAATCTTGCTCAGTTACAGGTTTCCAGCCTGTTTCAACATTTGAAAACCTGAGTCACTGAGCTGGATTTACTTGGGGAAACTCACTATTTAAATCCGCTTGAGAACCGACAGACATTGCCATGTCCAGAGAAACAAAAGGAAATTTTTGAGCTTGTTTCAAGATCTGAAGAGGCTGTGCTAACTAGGAACAAAAAAATTACGCGGTTATCCAAAATACACATCTAACCAAAATCAAAATAAAACCATCCCCTCAAAACAGCTCTGAAACAAAGAGTTCAGTGTTACGTTGCCTTATAGATGGAAGATCTGACTTTACCCAGGGAAAACGTGTCCAAGTATTAATGCCACTGTTGCTGATTTCCAAAACCGGGAAAGCAACTTAATCATCCTTGCACGATGCCGCCAAAAAGTGCCGCCCAGACACTTGGAAAAAAAGCTATTTATACGCCACAGGGACGCACTTTTACAGCTCATCCAACAACTTTAACGCAGGGAACGCGGCAGCGCAGTTGCTCTCTGAGTTTAAAAAAAAAAAAAAAAAAAAAAAAAAAAGGAGGGGGGGGGGGGGGAGGGGAGGAAAAACGTAAAGAAAAGCGCCTGGAATCGCCTTTACGAATCTCTGCATTTCCCAAGCGAGCAGCAGCTGCCGAGCGGGAAGAAGGAGAAAGAAAGAAAGAGAAGGACGAAGAAAGGAGAACATATGGAGAGCGCCCGGGACACGGAGAAGGCGGCGGGCCCGGACCGGCCTCCCTTGCCCCGGCCCCGCGAGGGACCCCGGCGGAGGGCGGGGGCAGGAGAGGCTGATCCAGCCGCCATCCAGCCGCTCCCGGCCCCGCTCCGCCGGCAGCGCCGCCCCGCTCCCGTGCCCGTCCCGCCGCCTGCCCCTACTCACGCGTACGGCCAGCGCCCCGGCCCCCATGCCGGCTGCCGCTCCGCCCCGGCCGCCCGCCCTCGCTGCTCCCGCCGGGGCCCTGCCGCCCGCAGCCCCGGCCCCGAGGTGCCGCCCGCCGCCCCGGCCCGCCCCGCTGCCCGCGGGGGGAGCGGAGTCGGGCCCCCGCCTCCCGCCGGAGCGGCCCGGAGGGCTCGACGGGGGTGGGTCTGCCTCCCGGAGCTGCCCCGGGTCGTGGCGGGCGGAGCGCGGGCCCCGCGGCTGCACCGAGCGGCCCCCGGGCATCGCCGAGGCCCCGGGCCGCGCAGCCCGGACCTGCCGCTCGGTAGCGGGGCGGGGAGCGGAGCGGCTCCGCTGGCGTGCGAGCGGGGCTCGGGCAGAGCCGCTGAGCCCAGTAACGTTAGCGGGGTGCGGGGGAACAGCAACCGCGCCCGCCCCAAGGGCGAACGGAGCCGGACAGCGGGGCCTGGAGCCCGGGCAGCCGCGCCGAACGAACCCCTCTGTGCCACGGCACGGCCGCGGCCCCGCTGAGCAGGATGCGGTGCAACACTTGGCCTGAGTCTGGAAAGCGCGAAGCTGTTCAAGCATCGCCCCCCGTTATCGTTTTCCATCTAGGGATGTGTTGGTGAAATAGAGAAAGGTTAAAGCGAAAAGCGGAGGGGAGGACACCCCACACGGCTAGTGACTGCCAGCCGGCACGGCACAGCAGTGGCGAGGAATGTATTTTCCCCAGTGCCCTGCTCCAGGTCACTGCCGCCCGCCCGGAAGCAGTGTTTGTCCTAGAAATTCAAATTACGCTTCAAACCAGAACTGGGGAGTTGTGGCGTTTGACTTTTTTTGTGGGAGAAAAGCACATCACACACTGTACCCATGCTATCCACTTAGATGTAAGCAGGGCCTGAGCATCGGGGTAGGAGGGAAGGTCTTTGGAAAGTGCCTCTCAGAAATACTCGACTCTGGCACAGGGACAAAAGAAAGTCTAGCCAAGTAGAGAAAAGGAGAGGAAGAAGAGCGATCTCTTTCATGTTCAGTTTCTGTTTTCCTCTCTAAGCCACTCTAACCCAAAATTGCGTCTTCCCCAGTTGGTAAGTTTACAGAAGTTAGACTTAGTTAGCACTGATGTTTTAATTTCACTTTAGGACTCTCAAAGTGAATTGATATAACATCCTCCCTCCCCTAGCCCCCTTCTTACTGTAAGCCTCTAACTTGTTTTTCACATGAATCACACACAGCCTTTTTCTTCTTAGTCCTAAATGCAGCTTCACCGGGAAAACCAATGATGTGCTTCAAACCGTGATCCAGAGAGGGAATGACGAGAATCTGCAACTCCTTGGAGACTGCAATGGGGGGATGAAGAGTTCAAACATGAACCCCAGCAGTGAACAGCAGCTATGGCATTAAGGCTTTTATAAATACATGTTTGAGAGGTAGCAGGTACATACTAATTCTATAAAAAGCATGACCAGAAATCAAGCTTTATGATATCAGATCCTAGGAAGTCACACTTTCTGCCAAGCCACTGGAGCACTTTGGGCTATGATAGGCTGGTCACTTTTCTCTGTGTTGATAATGACACTTTGGTACTGGCTTAAAGTCCTGAGAGAGCTGAAGGCCAGTCACTTGTTTCCTGTGTGGCAGAAGAACCAAACCCAGACTGAAACTTCCACAATTGCCTTTGTCCCCTCCTGACATTACAGAGGACCAACAACCCCTGTGCAGGACAGAGAAAGATTTACCTAAACTTTTCTTAACCCCAGCCCAGAATTAAATGGATTCCTTCCTGTACCTTCCACCCTTCCCACAGAGACACATTTCTATATATCCTGATTTTCTTCTCCTCCCTGCAGGGAAGCACCGCCCTTTATGGTGACTCTTCAAAAAAAAAAAAACAAAAAAGGTGATGAGTGGGGAACAGCAGTATGTGCTTCTGGTGCCACAGAAATCAGCTAAGATGCTGTGGTATTTGACTCTAGGTTGCACTTTACTCGGAAAACCTTCACTATTTTCCTGCAGAAAATTCAGAAAATCCTTAGAAAATAAAAAATCAGAAGCAGTCGTGCCTATTACAGCCAAACCCAACAACAAAGAGCACACCTCTGTACACAGCTCCCATTATGCTATTTAATGTTTTCTGGCTAAGATGTTGGATCAAACAACTGTCTCTTCCCTTTTCTACTCTTGAGGAATGTAGCACTGCATGTACAGAACAACCACAGGATGAATATTTATGCAGCTTATCATAGAATATGTCTAGAGCCATGAGAGCTCAAATCAGAGCAAAGGCATTGTGAAAGACTGGTGAGAAGTCAGTGAGACCCATAAGTTGTGTATAGCTGGCTTTTATCATAATTATGCCCACCTACCTTGGGTCACACAGTTGTTCCCTGTAGTTCTCCACTATGTTGTTAGATTTGTGTAAGAGTAGCTCAATGGCTTTTTAACATGCCTGTCTTTTCAGGGCAGCCAACAGAATAAATTCACTAGCTGAGATACATCCCTCCATCATCTTCTCTCTACTTCCACACAACTGATAAATGCTAATGTAAAAGCATTGCAAAGAACAGGCTAATAATGCAATGAATAAAAAAAAGGAAAAAAAAAATTCTTCCCTTCCACTTGTTTACAAATAAGGCATTTAACCTCAGATGTTGTAACAACATTCCCAGAGGGGAAGAACAGCTGGGATAGTGCTAGAAGTTCAAAGGAACTGCCTCGAAGCTCTTCTGTAAATGATGCAATATATTACTTTAACCTGATTATTATTCATCATTTCCACAGTGACAGCAGAATTCAACACCCATTTCATAAGAGTAAGAACAGGCTTCTGTGAAATAAATAATTGCTGCCAGCCCTGGCATCCTTGACCATTACTCTGTTCCCTCCTGGCTAGCCCAAGTAGCCAGCCGCAGGATACTTGCTCTGACCTTCAGGGCAGTCATGGGAAGGTCAGCCCAGCTAAACATGGGCCTTACTCTGGTGAGTAAGACCTGGCAGCTACAGGTGAGAGCAAGAACCAAAACCATGATCCAGAAGCAGGTGGATATTGCCAGACCAACACATGAAAGAGAGTAGGTTTCGATTAGATATTATGATAAACTCTTTACCATGAGGGTATTGATATGCTGAAATAGGGTGCTCAGAGAAGTTGTGGATGCTCTGTTCCTGTAAGTGTTTGAGGCCAGGTTGGATGGAGTTGTGAGCAATCTGATCAGTGAAAGGTGTCACTGCCTGTGGCAGGGGTGTTGAAACTATGTGATCCTTGAGGGCTCTTCCAATCCAGGACATTCTATGATCTGGCTGAGAGATTAGTCTGTCATTGAGTCACTAACTACTTCTCATCCAAAAAGCAGTAACAGGACACCATTTCTTAGAGGAAAAAAAAAAAAAAAAGCATGCAATAAAAGCATGTGATTCACTTCAGTCAAGACATCTGTGGGAAGGTTTTTGGAGTCAAAATAAGGATGACTTTCCCCGGGATGTTGTTCTTGTAAATGAATTAAACATTTTAAATATCTAAAACTAGCATTAACAAGGGGTGGTGGTTTTTCTTTTGTGAACAAATACATGGCTACCTTGCATTTCTGCATGTAAACCAGAAAGTGAAAGGGACTAGAAACTATCTTGTTTTCCCTTCATTGTGTTGTCCAAATGAAAAAAACCCCACCAAAATCCACTGGGCAGCAAATGGAAAGCAGAAAATTAAACCAAACATTTTTGAGAACTCTCTTACTAAAAGATGGGGCAGAGATTTATTGTGAGACTCTCTTCCAGTATAAACCCTACAAAAATGTCAGGCTGAATTTTTTTTTCACCTTTGTCCTTCAAGGCAGGGGAAGGATGTAGAAGGAGAAATCTGATTTGATAGTTATGATTCTAAAGCAAGAAAACAAATTGCTCTTGAAATGCAATTTGCAATTTTATCAAGCCTGAATAACACTGTTCTGCAGCTCAGTATTATCTTGTTATTTATGGCATCCCACTTTATTAATGCAAAATTTTCTTTAGAAAAGGCAGTATTTGTTGGAGGCAGTCATTACAAGTGACTTCTCTGAATGTTCGAATACTCTGAACGATGAATCATCACCAACATCACTGCAAAAGGAATCAGTGGTGATAAATAGGAAAAGAGGATTTATATATAAATTACTTTTTATTGTAGGTCAGCAGTAAAAATACCTACATTTGGAAATAGTATTGGGGGCAGGGGCGAGTGATTAGAGCCACTCACAAAGATATCAGTGGTCCCAAGTTGGTGATAAAATGATGCATCACCTCATAACATGGATGGTGAAAAAAGGAATTTTGTGGGCTCAGGTCCCTTTTATCCTCCCTTTATGTGTGCAAGACTGAGTAAATGCTGGCTAAATGAAGGGCTGAGCATGCTGAACACTTGCCTTTAGCTCAGAAGGGTTGGGAGGCTTCATTACACCAACATACAGAAAAGAGGATATGTATGTGACATAATATTTCCTACCAAACCTTTCAGGGACTGCCCATTGTTACGTTACAAAATGAAGTCTGTTAATCATTTCAGCCAAGCTGCCACCACTGCCAGCTAAACTTCAGACCTGCAGATCTGCAGGGGCCTTCCCTGGCCACATTTTAGCCTGGATTTCTTCCCTTGACCACTTGGGATAGAACATTTGTAGATATTTGATGACTCTTGAAGTTGAAAACAGAAAATAAAGCAGCTTATAGGATTGATTTAACTGACTGAATCAATAGCCAGCTATTATCTGACTAATCATTAGCTCACTAATCTCTACTACTGTGACACACAGGTATTTTTAGAGAGAGGTTTGCCTCTTACCTGTAATGTTGCTGTGATGATTTAAAATTTGTCATGGATTTGCAAGGAGTTCAAATTGTGTATGGCCAACTATATCACAGAGGTGTTTTGATTTCAGCAAAGATAAGAAAGAGGGTTTTTTTCCCAGATCCCAGTATCATTCAATAATATAAAATTATTTAAGAATTAATATATCTTGCAAGTTTGCGTGCTCTAAATAATAGCAACAAAAGGAGGACCCTGAACGGGCAAGGATTATG